GTCTTGAAAAAAATTTTGTCGCCTGCAAAAATTTTATGGAACTTTGCAGCATCCACAGGAATTTTTTTTTAGAAATATGCCAGTCTGCAAAAACTTTATATGGAAATTTGCTGGTCTGTGGGCCCAAAAAGATTGAGGAACACTAACCTACCAGAATGGATCAGCATTTCATGCACTAAAAAACTTTTTTATGCTTCAAATTATTTTCAGAATTCACTTGGAGATGTTCAACTAATATACTGTACCAGTAATTTTACCTGGGAAGAGCCCATGTTGCCCATGCTTGGATAACACGTTCTGACATGATGTGAAATGGCAGGTTTTTCTCATTGTTGTCAGGGAACAGTTTTGCTATTGTATACTTTGTTGACCATTGAGTCTCAGTGAATGCAAATTGAGACTCTGCCGCCCACAAAAAACCTTGAGTTGGAGTTTCTGCATAAATTGCCCTGTTGCCAAGTCTCCTGTAGATTTCCTGGAATATCAAAAGAACATCATGAGTTACAGTCCATTCAATGTCTTTTTAGGGGTACAGTATATTGCACTTGAATGAAATTAAATATGAACTGATGAACAGAATACATAGATAGTTTGAGGGGTTTTATAGTATGTATTTAAGGTTTAAATGAAAGTATAACTTGTATGCCCAAGTAGTGAGTCAAAATCTGATCTAAACTATGGTGTTGGATTATTAATAATAAGACTACAGGATATGAAAGCTTATTGGCCTCTAATCCTTTTTTAATCAGTTTCTTGAAATTGGAGCCATGAACTGAGCAACTGTTTCACTCTTTGAATTTCAGGGCACCCCTTGCAGAATCAGAGATAGTATAGGTGTTTTACCTGTGGATGCCCCTTGAACCATGTATCATAAACTAAATCTCCAAAAAACATCATGCCAAAAGATATCCCAGAAGCTTCTAAATCTTTGATGGAGTTGATGGGCTGAGCAAACGCTGGAACTGTCAACACTGCTGTCAACCCTGCTCTGTACACTGTTGACATGACAAAGGTGAACATCCACCAGCACAGCAAATAAAGCCTGTTTGGCATGGTTTCCCTGGAACAAAACACCCAAATTGCAATATGAGGACATGAAAAGTAGATTATTTTAAATGGCAATTTCTATGTGAAAATAAGGATGGCATGGTTAACAGAGTTCCTTCTGGAATGAGGTTTTTAAAATGAAGGTTCAACTACACTGCTGACAAGCACTCAAACTTAAAATTGACATTTTCATGATTATTTTGGGAAGGGCTTACTAACTTGAAATCCTGATACATCTCTTGTTGTGCTAATCCATAGTAGTTCTGAAACAGAGCTTCCCCAAAGGAAAACTTGTCAAAGCCAATCCAGGCATAAGCAAGGGTTGATGCAATGGTAGCAACTCCTGTGAGAATCCATACAGGGTAAGTTAAAGGTACTACAATTGCATTCCAGTTCATGTCCACAGGTCTTGGCAATGGAACAGCAACCAGATTACTGTCCTGCATGTAAACAATGGCGTCCAGATAAGTCAAGTGCTCTATTCCAACATAGAACTCAGCAAATGCAACATCTGCTCTGTTGTACATCAGATCTCCAAACATTCCTAAAATGTGAAAAATTTATTAATGCCAAATCTATGATTTTAGAAAAAGACTCACCATTTAATTTGTTGTCCACCAGGGACCCCCATTTTCCATCAGCAGGTTCTGTGATGACTGTTGAAAAGTTGTATGTCCTTCCTAATTGCTCAAACATGGCTACTTCCATTCCATAAGTGTGGCCTGCTTTCCTACACACAAATGGACAATAAGTAGCTGCACTGGCCTTTAGTTCAATGTCTTGCAGCAAGTTTGGTAGAGTTTGAATTTGTATCAAGCTCTGAAAATCTGGAAAGAAGCATATATTGATGTTAAGTTTGGTTTTCTGAAAGGATGAAATTCCTCTGGAATTCACATACTTTCCAAATATTTGCTAGCTTGTTTCTGGGCAGAAGCCAAAGTAACCCATTGGAATCCCATGGCAACCAGAGGCCGCCTGAAGTCAGGGTTAACTATGATGACACCTGTTTCACCTCTGAAGTCCATCTCTGCTCTAGAAAGCATTTGTTTGTCCCTTGTGACGAAAAATAAATAATTCATTGCTGGGAAATTCCTCAATTGTACCAGTCTTTGATGTGCTTCTTCCCACAACTCTTGATCCATGTTTCCCCAATTCCAAATTATGAAGAAAACTTGATTCAGGCGTCGCAGATCAGACAATGGATGAATTTCTCCCATTTTTGGAATGGACACAAAGGACCTTGGAATTGAGTCATATTCTGATTCATGGATGCAATCAATAAAGTCCTCATGAACAGTCAGATTTGTGTCTCCAACTTGATGCAAAACAACCAAGCTGAACTTTTTGAATTCTGGAATCAGGGATTCTAATCTCCTCAATGCTCTGATGAAAGCATTGCAGGAATTTTCCATTGATGACAATAATGGGCTGCTCTCAGCAGCAGGCGCAATAATATTTGAAAACCAGGTGTCACTCCTGTCACTGCTGCAAACGTTGGGTAGATTTATGGAAAATAGGCATAAAATCAGTGACATCTTCCCAGCAATGAAAATGTGTCCTCTCATGCTTATCTCTCCCCTTGTGCCTTTTCTTTGACTAACTGCGAAGGTTGGATTTTGATGAAGATTTTTTTCTTCAACAGCAGAACTCTTAGAATTTTTATGAGCTCATGTCTTGGTTTAGTAGTGCAGGTGGTCGTATCTGTGTGCTGTATATACATGCAATGCAGGTGTGCATTTATCTATGGATCATGTATGATGTTAAGAATATAATGAAGTGTGCCATAAAAATAATGTGGAAGGTGTTCTTGCACTTTTTTTATAGTTCTGAAATCGTCCTCATGCATAAGTCAATAATATAGAAGGGAGGTCTTTTTGTCATGAATCCTATGGTGCATTTTTTGTCAAAGTCTTTTTAAGCACTTTTAAATATAGATCAGAGATCCAGAAACAAAAGTACAAGTCTTTCCAGATTTTCCTCAACTATACAAAGTTTCAAAACATATATTATACAGCAGAAATGTATGGTGTATCTTTAGGCAGTTTCTTTAAATAATTCAAAAATCATGTCATCATCATGATTCTGATTTCTGTATAGGAATTCAACGTGCTGGATTTTGTGCAGGTGCATTCTCATCTATATATAATTAAGGATGAGCTTGAGTGGAGCATTGAAAACGCGTGGTTGACAACTCATGACAGGAACTATTAAAACCCGTTCATATCAGAAATGCTTCATATGCTGGATGAGAGTGAACCAGCTACATACCGTATGTAATACTGCATACCATTTTGACCGAATCCATGCTGAATAACACACAATATTTTGAAAACTACAGGTATATAATATATTCAAATTTACTTTGGGCTGTTAATTATCAATGATTTTAAATAAGGTTTTTTGAATTTCCATCTGTTGAAAGATGGTACATTGCAAATTTTCTGTGATTGTTTTGGAAATAACTTAAAAACCAACATTTGGAGTCTACATTCAAATTTTCAAAGCTATGGATGCACAGCAGCAGTTAAAAAACAATTACATGCACCACATTTGTCTAACTTTTTGAGAGTTGTATAGGTTTTTCATTCTAATATATAGCGGTAAAACGGTATTCAACGCATCCGTTAGGACACAAACAGTTTTTTAAGGGTATTTCAAGCTGAACCCATGGAATACAGTACACTGCATGTACTGTATTGAGGTTGATGTGGATCCTGATTGAATGACTCTATGTCTAATTTTAATCTCTACAAAATATGGCAGCGCGCGGGTCGCCGGGTGATCAGAACTTCGCGTCTCTCTTGTGAACAGTGCTTGCGCGGCATCTCGAACATTCCTCCGAATGACGTGCATTGTGTACGATATTTAGATTATCGGTTGTGCTTATTTGATTATATTATTGTTATTTTCCCGGTTGTATGATAAAACCCGTTCATATCAGAAATGCTTCATATGCTGGATGAGAGTGAACCAGCTACATACCGTATGTAATACTGCATACCATTTTGACCGAATCCATGCTGAATAACACACAATATTTTGAAAACTATATGAAATATTCAAATTTACTTCGTGCTGTTAATTATCAATGATTTTAAATAAGGTTTTCTGAATTTCCATCTGTTGAAAGATGGTACTACATTGCCAATTTTCTGTGATTGTTTTGAAAATTACTTAAAAACGAACATTTGGAGTCTAAATTCAAATTTTCAAAGCTATGGATGCACAGCAGCAATTAGAAAACATTTGCATGCACCAAATTTGTCCAACTTTTTGAGAGTTGTATAGGTTTTCCATTCTAATATATAGCGTTAAAACGGTATTCAACGCATCCGTTAGGACACAAACAGTTTTTTAAGGGTATTTCAAGCTGAACCCATGGAATACAGTACACTACATGAGTACAGTACTGTACTGTATTGAGGTTGATGTGGATCCTGATTGAATGACTCTATGTCTAATTTTAATCTCTACAAAATATGGCAGCGCGCGGGTCGCCGGGTGATCAGAACTTTGTCAGAGAGAACACTTGTCACGAACGCGCCGTAGAGCTTGTAAGGAGGCTTACTGCACGTAACACATGCTATAAATCTAATAGCCAACACGAATAAACTAATATAATAACAATAAAAGGGCCAACATACTATATTGACTTAATTTACTTTATGCAGGCATTTGAGCGGAAACATTCATGTTCTAAGAACTAGTCTACAAGTGACCTGCAGAGGTGCTCGGTTCTGCTCGATAGATCTGTAAGTACTGTATGTGGTTCGGTTATTTCAACTACTGAATATAGCTCATTTCCTTTGAATCTTCAAGTGTCTCAAAAGTTAATCCCTTTGTTTTGAAGGTTCCCGTGCGTTACTCGATTTGAACGGCATGGCGTATTTCGCGGATTTTCATTTGTCAGGTTCCAATTTAACTATTCTGATCTTTCTAGTTGTCCGTTCAAGATGGCTTATCAGCTATACCGTAATACCACCTTGGGGAACACGCTTCAAGAAACTTTAGACGAGCTAATCGTTTACGGTCAAATCTCTCCAACATTGGCGATGCGTGTCCTGACTCAGTACGACAAGTGCATCAACAACGCCCTTGCCAATCGCGTGAGAGCGAGAGTTCAGTTCAAAGCTGGGAAGCTCACCACCTACCGTTTCTGTGACAATGTATGGACTCTCATGCTTAGCGATGTTGAGTTCAAAGAAGTTCATGAACTTGTTCGCGTAGAGAAGGTAAAAATCGTTGCCTGTGATGCGAAAGGTGGGGCTTCGAACAAAGAAGGCCCGAAAGAGAAAGAGTGATTCGATTACTGTTATTGTGTTGTGTGGATTTCATTCCTTATTTTGTCTATTGGGCGCGGCTCAGTTAATGATGTCGATCTGATCTGCGGTAGTGTGCTAGGCTAATGGTTTTTCCCGGTATCTGCCCCGGATTTCTGAGTCATATTTCTGACGTCTTAAAACTGGCCCGAGCTACATAGAAAGAAATCAAAGCGGACTCGAAAGGCACACGAGTTAACACAAACAGAAAAGGTCCAGGTTAGAGCATAATTTTTTTAACAAGTAGACATTCAAGTGACTGCCGGTATCATTTCGTGTTGGTTTTGTATAGCGCGTCAGAGAGCAATTGTGAATACACTACATCCGTGGCGTGAATGGCTTACGAACATTACCGACTTTCTTCTGTTGGCCTGGCCCTGAGCGATGCTCTGGACGAACTTGTCGCGTATGGGATCATTTCAGATGAATTCATCGATCGTATCATGCGACAGTTTGATTCTAGCATCAATTCGGCTCTTGCGAATTCTGTCAGTTCGCAGATGGAGTTTACCGGAAAGCTAACTTCTTACCGTTTCAGGTTCGAAGTCTATCGTATTTTTTATTGATGATCGAAAGTACTGTAATTTTACAGTTCATCGTTGAGTTTTTCCTCTGCTTGTTCAGATTGGCGTGTTACATATTCGCGTCACAAATTTTTTCAGTGACGACGTGTGGACGCTGATGTTCAGAGACATGCAATTTCGCAACGGGGACGATGTTGTTAGAGTTAAAAATGTGAAGGTGGTTGCGTGTGGAGCCGTGAAAGCTGTCCTGTTCCCGCGTGTTCAGTGATCTGGGTGTTCTGGAATTGTGCTTTTGATCTCCACGATGGTGTGAAAACATGGGAATCGATCTCGTTCTTCAATCGTGTAAAAATGAATCCCATCATTGAAAAAGAAAAAGAAAATGATGAAAAGAAAGTTGCGATAATGATCGCGTAAGGTTTCGTATATTCGATTTCGTGTGGTTTTTTTAGTCCCTGGACTTGCTGAAGAAGTTCAGCCTTTTTAGTTCAAGAGATAATATATCCTAACGATTTCATTTCGTTTCCATAAATTCTCCTGGTGCGTGATGAGTGTAATTCAAGATTTTATTTCGGAAATAATTTCGTGGCCGAGACTCGTGTTTTTCTTCTTTGTAAATCGCAAAATTTTTCTTCGATAGATCACGTGTCAAAGTGATGTTCAAAATATTAGTCGAGTATGCGGTAATTTTTCTCGTGTTAGTTCTTACTAGTTCATGCCTGGCTAGCTAATCAACTCGGCCTTCAGCTGGTTTTCCGAATATGCGTTCAATCTTAATCTCGATTTAATTGGATCCAAATTTCCTAATTTTTCACTTGCTTTTGAGGGACTCGCAACACCTGGAAATACCCTGTAGTCGTTTTGCGCGGTTTTCTTGGGTTAGACCGTTGGAGTATAAAGACTGCAGAATTTTGACCGGGCTCGATGTATCTTTCTTTAGTTTCGCCTGAGCTTTCCGTGTGCTCAATTGTGTTTGTCTTTTCCAGGTCCAATCTCGTATTAAAAAAATTGTTCATCTGCTTCAAGTGACTGCCGGTATCATTTCGTGTTGGTTTTGTATTGCGCGTCAAAGAGCAATTGTGAATACAGTACATCCGTGGCGTGAATGGCTTACGAACATTACCGGCTTTCTTCTGTTGGCCTGGCCCTGAGCGATGCTCTGGACGAACTTGTCGCGTATGGGATCATTTCAGATGAATTCATCGATCGGATCATGCGACAGTTTGATTCTAGCATCAATTCGGCTCTTGCGAATTCTGTCAGTTCGCAGATGGAGTTTACCGGAAAACTAACTTCTTACCGTTTCAGGTTCGAAGTCTATCGTATTTTTTATTGATGATTTAAAGTACTGTAATTTTACAGTTCATCTTTGAGTTTTTCCTCTGCTTGTTCAAATTGCCTTGTTACATATTCGCGTGACAAATTTTTTCAGTGACGACGTGTGGACGCTGATGTTCAGAGACATGCAATTTCGCAACGGCGACGATGTTGTTAGGGTTAAAAATGTGAAGGTGGTTGCGTGTGGTGCCGTGAAAGCTGTCCTGTTCCCGCGTGTTCAGTGATCTGGGTGTTCTGGAATTGTGCTTTTGATCTCCACGATGGTGTGAAAACATGGGAATCGATCTCGTTCTTCAATCGTGTAAAAATGAAATCCCATCATTAAAAAAGAAAATGATAAAAAGAAAATCGCGTAAGGTTTCGTATATTCGATTTCGTGTGGTTTTTTTAGTCCCTGGACTTGCTGAAGAAGTTCAGCCTTTTTAGTTCAAGAGATAATATATCCTAACGATTACATTTCGTTTCCGTAAATTCTCCTGATGCGTGATGAGTGTAATTCAAGATTTTATTCGGAAATAATTTCGTGGCCGAGACTCGCGTTTTTCTTCTTTGTAAATCGCAAAATTGTTCTTCGATAGATCACGTGTCAAAGTGACGTTCAAAATATTTGTTGAGTATGCGGTAATTTATCTCGTGTTAGTTCTTACTAGTTCATGCCTGGCTAGCTAATCAACTCGGCCTTCAGCTGGTTTTCCGAATATGCGTTCAAGCAAGTTAGAATTAGAGCTAAATTAACCTAGGTTTAAAGGATTAAAAAGTGAACGAAAACTCCCTGAGCGTTGTGGACCTTTATGGGACATCAGCAAAACGCGCCAAAAGAACCCAATCTGGCAACCGCCATGAAGTCTTTTGAGGCATTTTGATAAATTTGTCATCTCGTTACCCTGACAGACCTAAAATGAAACAGCGACAGGTGTGAATGTGAAAGTAAAAAAAAAAACGCGATGGCGGAAGCCGCAAGTAGCTCAACACCGGCGGCTGAAGCTGGCGCGCTAATTGCGTCATGGGAAGAATCCGGTCGAACTGAAGATTTCAACCTGATTGCCTTCCTCCACTCGGTAGCCGAGGTGGTGGAACGTGAATACAACATGTACCTTCGTCAAGACCCCGATCCATTCGACGATCGCCACCCGGCCAGAGCAGATCCGAACTGCAACTTCGGAGCAGTGCTCAAGGCGATTTTCAAGAAGGAGCATTTCTACTCAAAGCTAACGAGGGAATACACGCGGGATAATTTCTATCCGAATTCGGAACGGAGTGCGGAATTGAATACGGCTGCGTGTCGAGTGTTGCTTAGCTTGATGCCCGGCTTAGAGCCGCCAGTGGTGTTCACAGACGCGGATGTGTTGATTTCGCGACTTATCAAGTGGGTCGAGACTGGCGTCGACCCGTTGTGTTCCTATGCGACTGGTTTGCTGGGAATCGCGATGCAAATTCAAGAGATTCAAGTGCAGTTTTCGGAAAAGTGCGCGTCGTTGGTTCCCGTGTTGATTGATCGACTCGCGAAGGCTCATGTGGAATATTTTGCCATTGGTGACGCTGAGAAGGAACCCAGCCTTTATCCACTGGATCAAGAAAATAACCGGAAACGAATGAGTGAACCTATTCAAGATGGGCCACCGCCGAAAATAATGCGGATTAAGTCACCGAAGAACGTGTTGGTTGATGGGGAAACTTCGAATTCGTCGTGGATGGAGATGCAGCCGCTGATGTTCATGAGCTATCAGATTCATCCGTTGAATGTGGAGACGAAGCAGATTTTCTTGTTGAGATTCCTGACTCCTCTTTGTGATTCCCCGGATTTCCTCAGCACCGTTTTGAAGCAGAATTTAACGCAGCTTGTGTTGAAGTATGTGGATGTCTCAGCCAACAAGTGAGTAAAATTTGTTCACGGCCTGGCTTCAATTCATTTTATGATTTTGTTGAGAGTTTTTCCAAATGTTCCTTTTTCACTCGATGCATTGAAATTGTACGATTTTTTATTGACGAAGTAATGTACAGTACTGTGCTCTACATTGATAATCATTATCGATACTGATGCGACTTCCCTCAATGCTTAATCTCTCACATTTTCAGAAGTTTTTACGAGGACTGCAGAAGAAAGCAAGTTCAGGTGTTGAAAAAATTAAGAATATGTATGCATTGGTTTGAAAAAAAAAGAAAGGATTATTCCATTCATGGATGGATTTTAGATTGATCTACGAGATTTGGCTCTTAGGTTTTCTTAGAATTTTGCTTCACCCGTTAGATTGAGCTATATAAACGTCATTTTTGCTGATTATTTGTTTCTTGAAATGAAGAGAAGATAGCAGATTGAAACTTAAAAAGTGGCCTTTGTGAAAATGAAGTTGACTATCTACACTTCCATGTTTTATAGGGTTTCAGGCAGTCTTAACTCTTAAGTGTTACCAAATATTTCAAATGATTGAAAAATGTTATCTTGGTAATGCTATATACGGTATCTGGGATACGGAGTCTGGATGTAAAATACCTTTTGAAATTTCCAAGTTTTTGCTTGGTATCAAATTTCAAGGCTTCAAAGTTTAAATACTCGATGAACCAACTATGAGTCAAGGTTCATTAGTTCTGAATAAATTGTATGTCCCATCCCTTGGCTGTTGATGTATTTTTGGAAAGTTTCAATGATACGTTGGATTAAAAAAATTTGTATCTACGTTTTTGCAGAAACGGAAGACTTGCGTTCGAAGCGTGCCGAAACCTATCAGCTCAGATGTGCCACAAGAAGGTGGCGACGGATTTTTTGCAGATGGACGGCCTCCAGAAATTGCTCAACGTGCCTCGGCCATCAGTCGTAGCCACAGGTGTCGGCTACTGTCTTTATTACTTAGCTTCCTCTGCGGACGCCGTGGAAAAAATTTGCCAGTTACCCGAGGAAATCATCGAGCGGTTATTCCGCTATGGCTTGTGGCTTTTGGAATGCTCGCACGACTCGGCGAGGGCTCATGCGACCTTGTTTTTTACGTACCTGTTCAGATACCGGATTTTGTTGGCTATGTTCGACCGGCTCGGTGGCCTGCGTCATTTGTATAACATCATTGCGACGCAGAAGATCCTCGACGCGGATCCCCCGGGTGATCAGAATTTGAGCGACGATGACGAGGCGGAAGCGAGACAGGCTGTGCGACATGTTTGCAATGCTCTAGCAAAGTAAGTTTGCCCACAAATTCCTGTGTTTTAACGTACTATACAGTAATTTCAAAAGACAGTGCAGATGAATCTTTATGTTCGTAATTCTTCATGAATTGAGTTTTTCTTTGAATATGTAGGCTTAGCGCGGTTTTCCGGAGACACGGTGATGCGATTCGTGTGAATTTTGAAGATAGACTCACTCTCTCTTTAGAACGAATTTCTCTGCATAACGATTTTTTTCGGACCCATAGGGTTCTCTACCCATGTGCTGGGGGTTATTGACAACAAAATTCTCTTTACAAACTGCTGTGAACTATTTAGGGTTCCCAAAAATTCTTTCTAGAGAAAGTCCATGGGTATTTGCATTGAGGATTCTGTGAGGAATAATTTAGAATTCTTCCTGCCGGGTGAATTTTCAAATTTTTGCTGATGTGAAATATGACTATGCTGTCCAGTACAAGGAGACTCCCTCTGCATCGATGCATCGAAATTTAAGGAACCAGAAAAAAATTCGTCGCAGAGAACCGCTATAACATGTGGAGAAAATCCTGTGGGCCCAAAACTAAATACATTGTACAGATGAAATCGTTATAGACAAGATTGTCGTTGAGAAAGTCCATCTGTGCATTCTTTTCACGGTACGATTTGTTACGTAGGTGTCGCTCGAATCTGTAATTCGAGTGATTTGTGCCCGACGGTTCAAATTGCTTTTCAATTTTCAACCAAATTAGACGCGTTATTTATTAGTAACCTCAATGTTATTGTATGTATTTACAGGTATTTTGAAGCTCATTTGCTGCAGTTGGCGGAAGATGTGGCAGACATGAGCATGTCTGTGCAGCAGCCCTGGGGCTATGGAGCTTCCCCCGCGTCCAGTATTGGAGGAACTTCCCGCAGCATCTCTGCGCTGAGGATTCCCGATCTTTCCGGGGATCGTCTCACACTGATCCTTGAACTCGCCAGTGCCCGTCGAAGTTGGGTACCCGTGACAAGGTTCTCTAAACTCGGTGGGATCGGGCTTCTCCTGCGAGCCATCGGCATGTGTCTCGGCTGGTCAATGAACGGCCGAGCCGAGGCCTTGAAGAACGCCCTGGACGTGCTGAGCATTTGCGCCATTGCTCCAGCGGTGCAGGAGTCGTTTCGGTCGGAAGTGGCCTTGATGGACGACCAAGGGCGGCATATGGCGGCTGGGATTTCCATCATACTGACGGCGTGTCAACCGGATAAATGCTCTGACCCGGAAGTGCAAAAGGCCGCCTTGCAAGTGTTGATTCCGTGTATTTGTGTTACGCCTACGAATAAGGCTGTGGTGGGGCCTGTGACGCCCGGGGATGCCAGACAGAGGAACAGGACTCACAAGTTTGAGGACTCGTTGAGTAGACGGATGAGGGAATGCGTCAGGGCCAACAACGGGATTTTGATTTTGTATCAGTTGATGCGGACTGGATCTCCCATCACGGATGCCGACGAGTTGCGGGCGTTGGCCTGTCAAGTACGTATTTTATGTATCTATTTTTTACAGCATTACGAAACTTCTCTCTCTTCGTCGTTTTTTTCCCCATATTTTTTTAATGAACAGTGGAGGGTCGATCGATTATTTTGTGCCTATTTTTAAGCAGAAATTTCGACCTTTTTTTAAAAATTCCTATTGGTCGCCGAGATTATTTAGGACTGGTTTTTAAGCAGAAACTTGGGCTACGACCGATTAATTCAATATTTTTTTCGCATCGTGTTTTTAGAATTGAAAAAAAAAATTAATACAGTATGTTCATGTTCAACTTCGAATGAACTTCTTTCTCTTCGTCGGGTTTTTTAGTATGTTTTTAATGAATGATAATGGGCCTCTAAGATTATTTTTGACCGATTTCTAAACAGAAATTTCGAAAGCTACCACAGATTGATAAAATAAATTTTCTTCAAAATCTTTTTTTTTCTTTTACTAAAAAAATTGAATTTTGAATAGAAATCGCAGTTGAGTGTCAGTGATTGATGCAGATTCTGTCTTTCTTTTTTGAATTTCAGGCACTTGCAGGTTTGGCGAGGAGTGAAAGCGTTCGTCAAGTCGTCGGCAAGCATTCTCTTTTGAGTGAACTCCAGTCTTACCTCAGAGAACCGATTCTCCCGGAGAAGAAACGAGAACACCTTCGTTTTTCTCGACATTTCATCGAACTTTTGGAACTCGTTTCTGGCGGCGTGATGGGCGACGGAGAATTCGCCGGAAAGGAGTACGACATGTCAATGGAGGCCCTTCATCGCATGGACGTCGTCGCACGGACAAAGATAAAATACAAAAAGTCGCAAGTTTTAGCTTTGATTCATCAACACTTGATGTTGGAGGGACTGACAGAATCCGCCGCGGCGTTAATAAAAGAGGCCAACTTTGCGCCAATTCCGGTGGCGACGCCGGCGCCGCTGCCACCGCCGGTTACCCCAGTGAGAAGCATAGGAACGTCGCGACAGTTGACGTACAGTTCGAGTTTCCACGCAGGGACGCCGTTGGTGAACGGGTATGGACCACCTGCGACGCCCATGCGGCTCACGTTGCAACCGTCGCGACAAAATAGTCCAGCTGCTGCCGTTGCCAAAGTGAGATACAGTACATTTCTCTCTTCTTTCGTTTGAAGCGTAGTTTGACATTTCTTGGTGTATTTGCAATTTAATTGTGTAGATGTCGCTTGTACTTGACTCAAATGTATTCGGTATTATTCGGCTATTTATTGCTAAGTCCACGTCCATTTGTGCTACAAGTCGTTCAGGAAAAATTTCACTGCAAACTTGGAAATCATACTCAAGCATATTCTTGAATTCTTTCGAGTTAGCGTATGTCCCGTTAAATCATTTGTTAGAACAAACAAGGACAAATGTTGGAGCAAAATTACTCAGACTTTTCTGAGTACAGAAAAAAAACTGCTTTTGTTTTTCTTTTATAAAGATGAATGAGAAAATTTTCCGGTTTCTTTGCACTTAATTGCCCGACTGTCTCTGACTTGTCATTGCGTAGATGTCACTGTTACTGTGCGTGCTTTTTTTTAGGTCCAAGTTTGGTTAATAATTCCATTGATGCTACACGTTGCTCAAAAAATTTCACTACAATTAGGTTATTCCCAGAAATGAATGTCCTTGACAACTTGTCAGAATGTAAAATATTCGTATTGATTTCACCACAACATAAAATAGTCAGGAAGTCACACAATAAAAGATAGCAGTACTCAGGTCGAGATCTTGAGCAAAGTGTTGAAGGAAGCTCCCTACTGGTTCCACCTCTCCTCTGGTCCTCATGTCTGGATGTTCTGGTAAAGCAGATGGGTTGGTTGGATGATATGAGAGTCCCACATGCCAGGATAGATGTTGCTGTAAGGGGATACCTTACTCTCCCCCCCCCCAAAGCCTATTGATTGCGGGGAATTAAACTGCGTTTCAATGCTCTGCATATGTATGGTTGGGTTTAACGGCAGGGGGAGCAATGGCATTGTTGGAAAAATAATCATGTTTGCGTAACACATCCAATTTGGGCACGCAACCAACTGTGTGATTTGAAAAACAGAAATCACTGTCATGGTAAGGGAGGACATTTGTTTTTGCGAATTTTTATTAGGTCTATTTTTAGCAAAGTCATTTAGAGAACCCGAATTCTCATCCTTGGAAACAAATTTACTTTCTGTGAGAACCTTGGAAGACCTTGGTTCTCACATTGCTTACGGAAGCCTCCAAGGCTACATTTCACTGCAAATCCTGTTGCTAATTCTTGTCCTTGAAGGATTGTTTTCCTGTTTCCCAAAACCACAAGATTGAGTACAGTTTGACTCAAGCATTCGTGTGTGCTGTTTCTCCGAGATTTTGCAAGTTTCTCAGTGACAATCAACCTATCCTACAAATTATACCAACTTCAGAATAGGGTGATTTAACCACGGTTGCAGCCCGACCGAATCATTGTGTTTCATTTCTAAAAATCAGCCCCTTTTGGTCACTCTAAATTTCCTCTGAATAAAATCTTCATTTGTTGGGATTTATTCCTGACATTTGTTCTGGCAGCAACAATCTGCATATGCCGCAGCAGGTTGTCATCAGGAGGCCATGGGAGCCCCCGTGCAGGTACCCATTCCCCATGCATTGGCTTGGCAGATGGTTGGTCCTGCTCCAACAAGGTATTGTCCATGCTTGAGGTAGTGTATGACAATGTATGGTCCCAGCTGCTGTATTCTGAAGTGGTGGTTGGCCGCTTGTTGTTGGACTATTGGAAGTTGGGTTGGTTTGTCACTAGGTTGCCTGGGTTGAAGGGGGGTCATAGTTTCCAATTTGCTGATTTGCAAAAGGCCTGTCAAGTGTTCTTGCTGTTCTGATGGATCTTCTGCAGCTGGTCCTCACCAGCTGCAGAAGGGGGGGGGGGGGCTTTCACCCTGAATTGCTCATTGGCTTTGCCAAAAAAACTTCTGTGGGAGAGAGATATGTAGTAGAGTGAACTGTATTGTTGTAAGCTAATGCAGAGGCTTTTATATGCTGGTCCCATTTGTTTGATTGCCCCTGGACTGCTTTGGCTTGAATCTGCATAAGTGTGTGTATGGCCTGCTTGCAGCACCAGTTGCCTTCTGTGTGTCTGGTGTGTGCCACATGCTGCTTCACTCCTGCATCTCTCAGAAACCACTGAAAAGCCCTTGAATGGAACACTGAGTTGCAGTCTGTGTGGAGGTAGTTGAAGAGCCCAACTTGTCGGAAGAGTTCTGCTAAAAACGGGATAACTGTTGCTGCATCTGCAGCTTTAATAGGTTTTACTGTCATGTATTTGCTGAAGTGGTCAACCCAAACTATGGCAAATTGGTTCCCAGTTTTTGAGGTTGGCAGCAGTCTGTAAAAAGGGAGTGTTGGGCATTCTCTTGGGTGGGTGGCTATAATTGGTGATGTTTTGGTGCCAGTGATAGTCATTGGGATGCTTTATTTAAAGCAGGTAGCACATTCTTGCACCCATTTCCATACACCCTGGCATAACAAAAGCCAATGATACCTTTGCTTGAGTGTTCTGTAGATCTTCTTCCACCCTGCGTGCCCCATTTTGGTGTGGTACTTGTCAATGATTTTTGGGATGTCCTCTGGCTTCAGCGTCCCCTGCATTGATACACACCCTGCTGAGTGCGTGGGGTCCTCTCAGCAGCTTGCCTGGTTTGTGCACCATTTTCATCTTGAATGGAGCTAACTTAGTTTCATTTAGATTAGCATGGCTGTTTTGAGTTCCCCCAATAGGGCTTTATGGTCCATGTAAACTGTGAATTCCCTCATTTCTAAATTGTGTCTTACGCGTTATGCTCCATACAATGGCCAGGAGTTCTTGTTCAGAGTTGGTATACCTTGTTTTGGTGTCTGATAGTACTTGGCTGGCATATTCTATGACTTGGGGCTGCCCTTGTTTGTCTATCTGTACCAGGATTGTCCCCAAAATGGTTGCAGTTTGGAAACCAGTTGGTTGGGGGCAATGCACTTTGGTATGTTGTTTGGGTCTATCCGTTCCAAGTGGGCAAATTTGGCAAGTATATCTTTGATGTTATTAAATGCTTGTTTGGCTGCCATGTCCCAGTTGAGGTGCATCAGGGGCTTGGCCAGAATAATGCGCCTGAGTGCCTTTTCTGCCTCTGCAAAATTGATCAGGAGATGCGCGGAGGTGAGTTGCCATACCCAGAAAATGTTGTAGTTGCCAGGTGGTGTCTGGTTACAGGAATTTGTAGATGGCATCCATGTTCTTTTGTATTGGCCAAGTTCCAGTTTGGTTGACCTTGTGACCCAGGAAGGTGATCCACTTTGCCAGGAATGTGGACTTCTTTAGGTCAATGGCTGTGCTGGCTGCCATAAGGTCCATAAGCATGCAGTCAAAATTGTTGTAAACTTGTTCAAAGTCTGTTCCAAAGACAATAATATCATCCATATAGACTAGGCACCTGACAAAGAGATGTTTCTGCAAGATTGTATCAACTGCTCTCTGGAATGCTGCTGGTCCATTCTTGAGCCCAAAGGGCATAACCCTGTACTGCATCTGTCCTTAGCATCCAGAATGCAGTTTTTTGCCAGTCTGGGTATGCTATGGGTAAGTGATGGAATGTGGAATGAAGATCAATGGTACAGAAATACTTGTTGTGTCTGCCAAGCATGTCTAACAGGTCCTGGATCACGGGCATTGGGTAGTGGTAATTGTTTAAGGTGTTGTTCAGCACCTGATAGTTTTTGACCAATCTTCAGAGCTTGTTGTATGGGGCATTTGGATCATTGCACTTCTTTGTTGTCAAGAAGGCCAGTGAATTGAATGGAGAGGCTGCTGGCTTGATGATGCCTGCGTTGAAGTACTTGTCTACTAGCGCATTGAACAGGATTGTCATTTTGGCAGATTGTTGGAAGGAGCAGGTAGCAGGTATTTTGTTGGAAGTGGAGGTTAGCGTGACAATGTGTTCTGAAAAAAACCATGTCTGCCTGACCCCTGGTGCATGCTGTCAGCATGTTTGCACAGGATCTAGATGATTTGGTGTAGTTCATCCTTGGAACCGTCTACAAAATAAATACCCTCCCCTGTTTCAAGCATTGGTTTGGCTCAGTTGTGCAAGGTTTGCTGAAAACCCACAAAGCAAGGTTACCAGTAGCTGTAAGAGCGCTGATCAACCAAGGATAATTGCTAGTTTGGACAAAGAGAGGAGTACCAAAAACAGGACATGATACTTTACCTCACAGAAACAAAAAGACAGTTGTACAGAATGACTGACCAATGCTGGGGAAGAGGTTAATGAAGTGTGGATGGACATGCTAAGGGGAGCTGTCCGCAGATGCATGGATGTGACCAGCTGTTGGGAGATGAAGGCATGTGAGGCTGCTGTGTCAAGTAAGGCCGGAACAGTTTGATTGCCTATCTGCAGGTTCAGGATAATTGGAGGAGGAGTGGCAGAATCAGCTGCTACACAGTGTGCTGCATTCACTGTGGCTTGTTGCATTTCCCTGGTTCAACAGAGGACAATATTTACATATATGCTCCAGAGCATTACAGTGAAAACAGATAAGAGGGTTTGCCTGATTGGAAGTCAAAGATGTCTGCTGCATCATTGTCTGAGCAGGTTTTGAAGTTGTTGTTAGTTGTCCCCCAGAAGGGGCATTAGCATTGCGTTGGAGGAGGATTCTGCATTCCTGTGGTGAGTGACAAACAAGATGTTGGTGCCTGTTGCACCATTGTTTTGGAGGTAAGTTTGGCTGGTTCCCTGAGGACTGCTTTGTGAAGGTAGGTTCACCGCCAGATGTGCTTTTTGCAGCTGGTTTGGCTGTGGTGTGCTTGTGGAGCCAAAAATTTTCTGCTTCCTCCACTGCTTTGTCCCAAGACAGGTTTTGGTCATCTGACCATTGTTCCTGGAGCTTGTCCTGTAGTTTGTCAGATACCATGGCCAGCAACTGGTCAATCAGCATTTTTTGCTGGATGTCTGCTGCAGAGGCCGGTCTGTTGTGGGTTGAACCAAGGAACAGGTCAAAGGTGTGTTCCAGCCATTTTGCAAAGTTGACAGAGCTCTTGCTTGGTTTTGGTCTTGCCTGGCAGAACTGGTCCAACCAGTCCAGATGAGGAGTTGGATAAGACTTGGCAATTGCTGTTGCCAGGGCCTCAAAGTTGACATGTCCCTTGCAGAATAGGATTGCTGCGGATGCCTGGATCTTGGGAAGGGTGTTGTGCAGCAGGCAAAGCACCTTCATGCCCAAGGTAACATTGTCAATTGCCAGCTTACAATGTAGTCTTTGAATGGTTCATTGTTCTGTTGCTTAGGTAATTTGGATTGACAAAGCTCACCAGAATTGCGGGCTGGCAGGGGAGGTAGCAGTGGAGCCAAACGCATTGCCAGTAACAATGTTGCACTTGATGGAGTGAGGAAGGACCATGGCTTGGGATTGTTATCAGCTGAGCTGAATTGCTCTACTTTTTTCTCACCCCTTGCCCTGCTCATTAATGCAGGACGGCTGCGCATATGGGTGCAACCTTGTTTTTGACTCTCTAGCTTGATTAATGATTGCCTCAGGCGGTCCACTGCCATATAATTAAGTTCTGGTGAAACTCTGTTGCAGCATACTTTCCATCCTTTCTTTCTTTTGTTTGGCTCAACTTCAACGTCTGAGCAATGACCTCCAAGTGTCTGGTTCCCCAAGTTGATAAAAGCCCTTGCTAGAATATAACTTCTTCAGTTGATGAATCCCTCTGAAAAGGAGCAGAGTTTGAGTAGGAGTGTTATATATTTGCGTTTGTCGGGTCTATAATAAAATACTTGAAAAGCCACATTACTGGTATTTTTACTTGTAAAACAATTACCTAAGTACTTTATGTACTTGGTTTGGGACGCGCCTGGTAAAAAGGGAGCAAATCTAATTTTAAATATTGTCTTCACCTATTTGTAATCCTCTTAAAGGTTTATAACACCCAGGGTTTTAGCCTGTGAATTGTAAAACCACTGGTGTAAGACAACAGCATGCTGAAACTGCGCTGCCTAGAGTTGCCACTCTGGTGGTGGTAGCCAGCCCTGAGCAAAGGTAGCTGCAATGAGGTTCTGCTCCAAAAGTGCAATAAGATGCTGTTGTTTGGTACCAACCAGTTGGCCGAGCTTGTATGCTTGTATCAGGTACTGGAGAGTTGGCATTGGAACTGTTTCCCACCCAGTTTGTTCTGCAGATCCTGTAGCTCCTGTGTTGTTGCTGGCGTCTTTGCTAATGTTGCTGAGGTTGAAGCATTGGATAAGGCAGTTTCCATGTTTCCAGAGGTAGGAGGAATGTAGGGCAGTGCAACGGCGTTGAGAGTTTTCTGTTGTATGCACCATTAACACATGTACAAGAGTCAATCAGGAAGAAGGGTTTGGACCGGACAAGCCCCCAATAAGGTTATTGCCAGAAATGAATGTCCTCAACAATTTGTCACAATGTAAAATGGTCGTATTGATTTCACCACAACCTAAAATAGTCAGGAAGTCACACAACAAAAGATAGTAGTGCTCAGGTCAAGATCTTAGAGCGAAGTGTCGAAGGAAGCTCCCTACTGGTTCCACCTCTCCACTGGTCCTCATATCTGGATGTTCCGGTAAAGCAGATGGGTTGGTTGGATGATATGGGAGTCCCACATGCCAGGATAGATGTCGCTGTAAGGGGATACCTTACTTTACGCACTCGGAAAGCACAGATAAGGAAATTCTTGAATGTTTTCCAGTTAAGTTCCCTTGTATCAGTTGGTTGAGCAACATCTGCCCAAAATTTCACACGTGGTTTATATGGGTGAAATCGGTGTCTGAACTTCTTGTTTTTGCCTCGGGGAGAGCACACGGAGACGAATGTTCGAGTAAAATCATTGGAGAATTTTTAGACAAAAAAGCTGCTTTCTTCTTTGTAACAGGCACTTCACCGCTCGGCGACGTCGGAATCGACGGCACGACCGTCGAAGTCTTCCCAAACCAAGAAGACGGTCACGCTGGACAAGCTCGTGACGGACTATTTGGCGAACCAGCACGCTCGCTGCAAGAACCCGATGATTACCTGTCCGGAATTCGACCTATTCCAGCCGCACAAGTGTCCGGACCGACGAGGAACGACTCAGGCCTCGTGGAATTTGTCTGCGCGAATAGCGAACCGAGGCATTTTCCCGAAGTATGGCGGCAAGGACGGGGCGGCGTTGACGTGTCGGCTGCTGTGGTCCCGGTTTCAACCCATCACTCATCCGACAATACGGTGATTCCCTGCTATATATATATATTTTTAAAATTTCTATTGAACAGAAGTTGAATCGAAATTTGAAATTTCAATGCGTGCAGGTGTTCTGATATCTTCGCAATTATGCGAGATATTGAAGATTTTTCTCTTCATAGGGGAAAAAAGTTATAATTTTGAGTTTTCTAATTTTTAAAATGTTATTCAAATTAAATTGAGTCAGCATTTGAAATTTCAATGCGAGAAATGGACTGAGGTGAAGTGTATTTTGGTATCTTGGGAAGTATGCGGGATATTAGAGGTGATTCTCGTTAATTTTAAGAGGAGGTTTGAATTTTGATTCGTAATTTTTTCAAAGTGTTCGACAGAAATTGAGTCAAAATCTGAAATTTCAACAAGAAAAATAGGTATTTTGGTATCTCCTAAAGTAAGCGAAACATTTTCAAGATTTTATTTGGTTTGAAAAGATTTTAATTATTCAGTGAATATTTTAAATTTCGTTGCGAAAAATAGTTTGAAACACATTATTTTGGTATTTTGGAAAGGTATGGGAGGTATTCAAGATGATGCTCATGAGTGGGAAAGCTTTTCATTTCTGTATGGTTTTTTTTTGTTTTTATCTATTGTAGAGCGCGAGACATGGTTGATGAGTTGTGTAGCTTTTCGACCTGCTGCTTTTCGCCGGATGATCAATTCATCATGGCAGGGGATGATTTGGGAAACCTGCGCTTGTTCAATATCATCACTGGCGCCGAAGAAGGCACCTACAGTTGTCATGATGCTCCGGTTAGTTAGATATTCGAAAACATTGATTTTTCTTCATTTTTGTGTTTTTTTTTTCAAAAACAGTAGCCTGAACTATCCACAGTATGTACAGAAGAAATATGTGATGTCCATTAGGAAATGAGTCATGTGATGCGCATAATAACGCATGAAAGCGGTTTTACGTATGAATAGTCAGGAGAGTATGAGAAAGACAGACAAATTTTGTGTTTTTTTGGAAAGTCGGCTTTCATTCTCGGAAAACCTCAAGTTCTTAAGAGACATGGTTTGGGAAATTTATTCCGATGAATTTTGATCATAGATTGAAGTTCCCTTTTTAAAATTTCTTCAGTGCAGGGACTGAAAAAGCTGTCGTGAGCTAGTTAAATTGTTCTAAGGCTTATTAAAAGAGGCGTTTTTCGCTCTGGTTGTCAGTTACACTTGAGATCAGGCACTTGACGAATTTTTGTTCTTGCAGTTGACAAACTTGCAACCATACAAGGACCGGAGTTTGCTGCTCACTTCCACAAATCAAGATGCCGGTGCTGGTCCGAAATCCTGTTTATGGTCAATGGGGGAATACTTCGACATGAAAACGGTATTCTTGAACGACAGCCACGTCGAATGGGGCAAGGGAAGAGAACAAGACTTGATCATCGGCACGATGGTATGTTTGAGAAGAAAAGTTAACCCGTTTCTGGAATTCACTTTTCGTGTTTTGCTCAAAATTTAGTCCTAGAAAAATGTTTGCATTGGCTTACAATCGAAGAATGAAAACAGGAGTATAGTCGTGTCCCGGTTAATGGACTAATGGGCGAAGTAATGTGAATCCAAATGTAATGAATAACTTGGATGAAGCATACGTGAGGGTTAAGAAGGATGAAGAAAAATCGTGAGCATTAAGAAAAAAGATTCTGACGTGGATCTTTTTTTATTAATTCTCACGTATTCTTCGGCCAAATTATTCGTCAGTCACGTATTCTTCGGCCGTTTCCCTCGTTATTATTTGGCCAAATTGGTCGGAAATCTGATTTTCTTTTATTGTCACATAGCTTTGGATTTCAATAATTTCATGTGGAATTTTTTTTTCCCAGGGAGCAACAGCTCATATTTACGATGCAACCACTGGACAATTGACAACAACTCTAACACCGCCCGAAGGATACCACAATTCGTACACTCAAAACCGAGCTACATTTTCCCCTTGCGATGAGCTCGTTTTATCGGACGGGGTCTTGTGGGATTTCCGCGGAGGCAAGCCCGTGCACAAGTTTGACAAGTTCAATTTGGCACTGAATGGACTGTTCCATCCGAACGGACTGCACATCCTGTCGAACACGGAAGTGTGGGACATCCGGACGTTTCATCTGTTTCGCCAGGTGCCGGGCTTGAAGTGTCGCGACGTGCGGTTCAATAACAGCGGAGACGTGTTCTTCGGCATCCCGTTTTTCAGTTCTCCCATGGAGGTAGGGATTCCTTTTTTTTAAAATCTGAAAAGCTTCGTTTGGAGTAAACTTAGTGAAAAAGTAGACCAATTTATTTACAATCTGTTTTTAAAAATGTCCCTTTCCGGCGATATTCTTCGGCCACAGTGGTCGATGATTTTTTTTTTTTTTAATTGGAGATTATTCATAGCTGAATTTTGTGGAAACATGCAGAAATACTGTAAGTGTTGTTCGAGAATAGGTTGGAAACGTTATGAGCCCACCTGTAATTTTAATGTTTATTTTTTATTCGAGTCTGCATTTTTCTCCGCTTTTGAATGACCGTGCTGTACTGTAGTTCGAAAATTCCGGAGACACTTTTTTTAATCCATTTTTCTGTTGAGACACGATACGGTGTTCAGTGATCTAAACTATTAATGTCAGCACCTTTTGAGCGCATTGTTCTTTTTATTCTTGAATAAGTAGAAAGTAGTTTTAAACAGGGTCAAAAATATTTTTGGCTTTCCTGTATTTTACTATTTCGTGTACTGAAATTCAATTTCCAGTCGAGTAATGATATGGTTTTCACGGAGTCCCAAACCAATGCAAGCATTTCTGAATTGATAGTTCTTTCTATTTTTGAATGGATGTACGGTAGTTACAAAATCTGGTTTAAATATCCTGAACCGCTTTGAATATTTGTCCATTTTTTCAGTTGAAAGATGTCGCGGTGTTCGAAGTGTCCGAAATTAATTCCCACACCTTCTAAGCTTGCTGTTCTTCGTATTTTTGAATGAATCATCTGCAATTTGAAAATAGTTCCAAGATATTTTGGACCTCCCTCTTTTCAACCATTGCATTTCGTGTACGGTAATTTAATTTTCCATTCGAGAGACGACGCGGTATTCACGGCGTCACAAACCAATGCAAGCATTTCTGAGTTCCATTGTTTTCTCTATTTTTGAATAACCGTCGTTCGGAAATCTGGCTCAAGTATTCTTGCCTTTTTTTGTGTAATCTTGACTTGAAAGACGACGCAGTATGAATGTTCTTCGTATTTTTGAATGATCATAGTCCAACATATTCTGGCTTTAGCTTTTTTTTTGCTATTTCTTGTGATTCAATTTCCCAGTCGAGGGACGATGCGGTGTTCACGGCGTCCCAAACGAATTTCCGCACCTTCTACTCCCACGACTTTTCGAGTATCGGAACGTTCGAAATGCGCCGAGACATTCTGGACCTCGCCGTGGACCGTCGAGACCAGGAACTCGTGACAGTGGAATGTTCATCCGAGGACAGCTTTATTCGAAGATATACTGTGGGTCGTAGAGGCAAAGACAGTGATGATGAATGCGAAGGGGAAGGTGATGAAGAGCCTGGGCCGGATGATGACGGAGGTGAAGGCGGCGACGACGACGATGACGAGGATGATGATGAATCCGCTGGAGAACGGCTGAATTTGCAGAGAATTATGAACATGTTTGCAAATCCACGCGACGCGCGTTCTGAGTGAGTTTCCTGAAGGGCTTTGTTCGTTGGTTGAATGTTCGAGTCGAGACGTTTTTTTATTTTTGTGGTAAAGGCAATTCTATTTTCTACAGTTCTGTGCGACTCTTAATTGAATTGAGTCGTTTTCCTTTCTTTTAAATTGAATATTTATCCTCTGTCGCTGATGAGAAGCTGAAAACAATGACAAGGTCATATTTTTCTGAAGCATTCGAGGGCCCAAAGAAAATTAACTTTTTGTTAGTTTTATGAAATGTGGAGTTCAAAAAATGGGCCTTCATTCATGAAAATTCCACGTGAAATCGAGAGCGAAGCTCTTTGCCTACGGGAAGAACCAAAATATAAATATTAGAATGACGAAGTTTTTAATCGACGAGAAGCTTGAAACAATGATCAACTCATATTCTTCTGAAGCATTCGAAAAAAATGTATGTCTTCTCTTGAGTTTTGTCAAATGGAGGGTTTCAAAAATCTTTCGTTATGAATGAAATTTCCAGCCGAAATCGATTGTGAAGTTCATTCGAGTATAGGAAGAACCCTCATATAAAGATCAGAATGAGAAAGTTTAAAATCAAAATTGTTCCATGACTACCAGTGACATCTATGTACATGGAAGTACTTAGCCATTTTCAAAGACTAACCAGGAAAAATGTGTCTCATGGATTACAAACGTTTAGGTTTGCAGTAACCCACTTTTAATATACAGTATACATTGATTATTTTGTCAGCATGTTTAAAACTGTTCTGGTTTCGATTTTATAGCTCCAGCTCAACATACGATGATCGGATGTCCCGTCGTTCGGATTGGGCAACTGTCCGAGACGGTGTCGATGGTAGTGATTCGGAGTTTACGACAGTGTCGACGTCGACTTCATCGTCTGCTTCTTCGTTGTCTGGTGACGCGGATGTCATTGAACTGAACGATTTTGAGTTCGTTGACACGGACGGAGTCGTGAGAGAGCCTTTAAATGGAGATGGCAGTGACACCGGTCAAAGGTACTGTGTACAAAAACGCACAAGTATGGCGAATTTATGCCAGTAAATAAATTTGTTTAACGTAAGATTCAAATCAATTTATGAACACTCTGTTTTTAGTCTTTCGTGAATTAAGATGTTGCGCATAGGGGATTTATTTACATTATTGCACACACGGTTTTTTTGTTGCTCGGGTTTTTGTCTGACCGCACTTCTTGGAATTCTTGGCTGGTTCCACTTTAATCCCGACCCTTACTGAATGAACCAAAATTAACTTACTTGACCTATTCTAATTTAAGATTTTAATCTAACCTAATAGGTCCCAACCAAAGTTGTATTCAAATTTGAGCATTTTTTGTCGACGATGAAAATCCTGTCGTGAGTGACATTCTGCTTTCAAGTGGGAAGAAAACGGTCAGATGATTTTTACTGTATTTCCTTGAATATAAATTGTTGTGCCTCATAAATTCAAGGACGCAGCTTCATGTTATTCAAATTTATGCGCCTGCATGGCTTTTATTCGTGCATCAGATATCAGCTCGATTTCGTCAAGCATTTGGATAAATCAGGATTTGAATGTACAATAATGTGCTTGCAAAAGTTTGTCCATTTGAATTTCAGAGTCAATTTGTTCAGGAAATTCTGTTGGTCAGAAGTAATCGTGAATTTTCTTTCGATAATGAAACCCATCCTTATTTCTTGAACCGATTTTCGTGTAAAAAGCTGTTCAATTTTTAAAATGGAAATTATGTACCTTGAAATCAGGATCACTTTGTTGGGAATTTGATCGCCTTCGAGTATTGTGACTGATTTGATTTGAGGAGAGAAATGCCGGATTGCGGGTTCTATATCGCTTGAATTGCGTGAAAAAAGTAATGAAAAATTCCAAAATCATTTTTTTAGTCGGTCAGGTCGAGATTCGCCTTGGCCAGGGCTGGCGGCGGCTTTGGAACGCGACAGAGACGATCGTCGTCGCCAAGTGGCCCGAAGGTCTGCCCACCCTGCCCGTCGTTTTCAGTACGGTAACAGACGGGGATGGCGCCGGCGACACGCGGGTCGAATAGCAGTAGTGGCGCGTCGACGAGGCGGCGAAGACGCCACCGCCGCTACCACCACCACCACCACCAACACCGCAGACGATGACGACGGGGATGAAGACGTCGACGGCGTCGAGACAGATGATGATGACGACGACGACGATGACGACGACGTACGTTTCTCTCTGCGAGAGGACCGCTAGGGAACGGCTGTTGAACCCTCTTGGGGAGCTTGTTGATCGCCTGTGGCCTTTTATTTTTTCCATGAGTGTTCAACGGTTCCTTTTTTTTCTATTTCCATTTTGGTGGAAAGGCATTCGCGAGGGATTTGATGAGGGATCGTCTAGCCGCTTGCGGTGGGAAAAGAAAAGAGATGTCTTTGAGTGGATATTGTTTTGGTCGAGTTTTTCGTTACTTTGCTTGGAACCGGTTATTTGGGCTGTTCTTGAAATTTTTTTGTGACTTGGCGAGAGCTTTTATGTGGAATCCAGCAGTTTTTTCAGAACTGTAGTAATTCTACGTGAAGGAATACTGTACCGTGTTTTGCCATAGTTGATAAAAGGTTACCATGCAGATTTATTTATAAAATGAATTGGGGCTTGTTTTTAGCGTAAACTACGCTATTTAAGCACCAAAATGTTCGTCCAGATTTTCATTTTCTAAACTTAGACTGTGAATGTTGCAGGATTATGTTTGGAGCCGAAACATGTACTGTACCGTATTTTGACGACTAAAATTGCCATAGAAGTAAATACCTGAGTCTCTCGTATGTCGAATTCAAATTCGTACTGTCTTTAGTCGACCCTCCATTTTGAGTGATATTTTTGAAAATAATCTTGGTGGTCGAAGGCAATCATGTAATTGACTTGAAAATTTAGGGCGCCCTACGATTCATTTTCGCCCGAATTTTGCTCAGAATGTGCTTCCTATATTCGAGAAAATGTATAGCTTGATGTCCAATGTTTTTAGAATTACTGTACAGCCTACTCCATTAAATTAGCAAATCTTTTTCTTGAAAGTGCTCGTGTAAGATGAAGCTCAAGTCGCGCTGTTTTCAAAGCCAGCCAAGATCATTGCTGTGAACATATTTTGCGTAATTTGGATTTTTCCTCGAGTTGAAGAAACGAATTTTCGTGCTTTTTTTTGCCAGATTTCGCGCGACTCAAACATGACTTTGTCCGATTCGCGCGAGGCAAAACGTGCGAAGCATCTGGTCGTGGACACCGGCGCATTTTTGCAACCGTGTCGACTAGACGATTTTGGCGAGACAATTTACACGGTTCGCGCGGTGGTTGACGAAATTCGTGACAAGGCCGCGAGGCAGCGTTTGGCATTGTTGCCGTTTGAGCTCGTCTACAAGGAACCGGAACCGGAATCCATCTTGTTTGGTCAGTCTAATGCTTTCCCCCCCCCCCGAATTCTCAACATTATTCTGAACCGACGTATTTGCATTAGAAAAGACGAGGAACTGAATGTTTTTATGGATTTTAATTAACTCTCGATGCAGGAGAAATGCGGAAAAGTAATTTTCAATCAAATTTTGCACCCTTATGTTTTCAGCAGAGTTTAAACCACACCCTGAAGTTCATTACTTGGGATGGTTCAGTGTAGGATTAAAATAAGCCGTCCTTAAAAATTTGGGTCTATTATTATTGAGCATGAATTACGAAATACCCTCCATCGCATGGAATATTTGTGAAAGCTTCATTTGCTGTTGTATTCGCGTTATACTAGTTCCAAAATGTTTTAGATGTATACAGTACTGTACTATAACTGGTATTTTTGGAATCCATTTGTTGATAATATATATAGTAATTATTTTATTTTTTTGCAGTGACTGAATTTTCGAAGAAGACCGGTGACTATCCAGCGTTGTCTTCAACCGACATACGAGTTATTGCCTTGACTCATACGTTGCAGAAACAGTTCGTTGGTCTTGATCAACTTCGAACAGAGCCCGTCAAATCCGTCAAAGTGAGTTCTTCGCAGTTCATCCTGAAAATCCAAATAATTTAGATTTATTCTTCGAATATTGAGAAAAAGAAATGGAGCTTTGAGATGGACTAAAATGAAATAGGAGTTCTATTGTCGCTTGATCATATTTTAGTATCGTGAGAAGGATAGTTTTAAAGTACTGTACAGTATTTTGAGTGCCTGAAGTTCGAGTATTACAAGTAACTGAATCAAAATCGAAATGTGATTGGAGCATGTTAATCAAAATTGGGACCACTAACGTTTTCAATTATTGAATTTTAAAGGACAAAAAAATGTCAAAAATACTGTAGGTGAAAAGATGTTGGAACACTGGTCATGAAAATTTCGAACTACAGTATTCCGCTGTCTAAATGTTATCAATCCCCATTCATCCCACAAGAGTCTCGTACTTGAAAATCAACGGAAAAAAGTGTGTAATCTTACAAACTTAAAAATAAAAAAAATTGACTTAGAATTGCTTCCAGGTCAAGTTATCGGATTCAGTCGCTTTTTAGTCATCAGCATTCAAGAATCGTCTGTTGGAATTCCATCGAAAGAATTCTAAGCATAATTTACAACATTTTTCCTTCAGGTCGTGAAGAAACAGTCGAATCCGGTGCCGATCTCGGAACTTCCGGGTTTCTACTTCCCGAAAAAGCACCCACCCAAACGGAAGCATTTATCTTCTGAATCGAGAAGCCAAAGCTCTGCTTCCCACGTTGCAGATTCCGAGTCTAATACCCCGGAAGAACATCTCTCGACAGTTGTTGAATCAGAGAAAGAAAGTGCGGAACCAGTGCATCAAGAAGGAGAAATAATTGCCGAAGCAAAGGAAGTAAATCCGGAAGAAAAGGAGAAAGATGAACCAAGACAAGATGATGAGCAGATAGAACATGAGTATGAGCTTGCAGAGGAGAGTTCCGAAGATGAAGACGACGAAGAAGAAGATGACGGAGGAGGATGGATTACGCCTTCAAATATCAAAAGTTTCCGCGAAAACCAACCTCAAGCCCCACAAGTTTGTCAAATTTTGTTTTCAATCGTGTAATAATTATTTTTTTTTTGAAGACGCGAGTAAAGCTGATGAATTATTTTTTTTTGCAAATGTGGAAAAGATCACGAAAACTTTCTTCAAAAAAATGCCGGGTTTCTGAAGATTCCAAGACCCACTGATTTGTCGAATCTCTTGTTAATACTTTACTGTAATCTTTTTTTTTCAATGACGCAAGTGAAGCTAATAAATTATAATTTTATTTTTTGCATATGTTCGAAAGATCCTAAACTTTGTCTTCGTGAAAATACCGGGTTTCTAACGATTCCAATCCCCAATGGTTTTTCAAATGTAATCCTTTTTTTTTTAAGACGCAAGTAAAGCGGAAGAATTCTTATTTATTTTGTGCACATTTTCGAAAGATCCGAAACTTTTTCTTCATAAAAATAGCTGGTTTTCTGAAAATTCTTGAAATAATTTGTCTTTATCATTGTTCTTCCCTGGATTTCCCCTTCGAAGGTTCAAGTGGCATGCATCACGACGGATTTCGCCATGCAAAACGTGATGATGCAAATGCATTTGCCAGCCATGGGTGTGGACGGATTCCTTATTCGTCAATTACGAACCTGGATTCTTAGATGCATTGCGTGTTTCAAAACCACGAGCGATGCTGGACGCCAATTTTGAAAGGTGACACCCTTGTTCTGTGAGTTTTCTCAGCCCCAGTGACACAACGGACTGCCTAGGGCCTTTTAGGTGAACAGATTCGCTGGAAACTCAGACGCCCCTAATTCCCATTCACGCTCTCTTGCTGGATAAACGAGTTTTTTCAAAAGAGCAGCGTTGAAATGATCAATCACTTGATAAAGTTTCGGTTTGGCTGCTGGTTTTAGAAAAGTAGTACATGCGAGTAGATATATTGACGAATGATCTTTTCTTCAATGATTTTCTCTGTATCCAGAATTTTTATCGTCTCATAGGGCTCTCAAACTATGTTACAATGGTTCTCAAAAACAAAATTCTCTCCACAACGAATTTTTTCCTGGTCCCTCGAATTTCGAAGTGGAGACTGGAGAATTTCACCTGTTTTACGATACATTTTTTCGGGAACAATAGCTGATTTCAGGTCCTACTTTTCAGATTATTTTCATTCCAGGGAAAACATTCTTGAAAGAAGGAATGCATTCCGAAGAAAAAATTTTCGGTAGTACAATATTGTACTCGAGGCCCCTTTTGGAAGTATGGTAGAGTAGATAAGAATACTCTGCTACCGACAAGCTGAAAATGTTGTACAGCAAAATTTTGCTTCAAAAATCTGTTGAAACAATACAGTACATTTTAAAACAGGTTTCATAAGTTAGACAAAAGAAAATTAAAATGGGAAAGTCCATGAGCAGCATTAAAATGAAGTTGATCGAAAAAAGTGATGAGAAGGGCTCTTGACTGAAAATAATTGTGAAATACAGTATTGTAATTGTTGAATTTAAATGATGAACCAACGCCTCCTACGGTGATTCATTTTTTTAAATGTCGAGATTTTGTTCAACACGCACATAGATGATGCCCCTTTTCCCGTGAAAAAAAAACGGTGCTCACTAAATTAACTCGGCCAAAATTAATACTGTACTGTTATGCACTAAAACCTGCACATCCGAGAGTTTTAACAAATTAAATTGAATCTACTCAAATTTGATGCGCCCTCTTGATTTTTCGAGCCAGTTGTTGATTATTTTCTCATAAAGTTCGCCGAATATTTGTGTTTGTATTTTATTCAATTTTCTGTCAAGACTTATGAACCAACCCTCGTCACTGGACTTGAGCAATACATCGGCTATGTTTGTGATGATCTATGATCTATTGATTCGTTTTAACAATACCAGAATTAATGTACATGTATTTTTCTTCCGTAGTTTTCGTTGCCGATGCCGAAAGGAGGGAAGCACTCTCACAACCCCCTAATTGCTGAAGGACAACGATTTCCTCAACAAAGACCTTCAAGGAAGTCTTTGCAGAAAATGAAC